CACCTCCTAACTAATGGTCTGACCGAGATTACTAACCGAGCTTATCACGCCCTCCGAATTATCAAATTAGGAGGTGTGACCCTGTCTAAAATTAATAATATTATAATTCATCATCAATTCAATCCAGGATCCAATCTAACAATTTGAGGATACTAAGAATCATTCAAAAATTAATATTCACAATTCATAAACATATACGTTACATAAATCATAATCCACTTCACTCAAAGATTCACAAAATCCAAAGGCAACTCAACTAAACATCAATCACAACACAAATCCATAATCGTAGAAGTATATACAATCACAAAAAGATAATTATTTACCATGATTTCTTATCCTTATACAACTTAAACTTATCATTCCATACACATGAGCGGTCCTTTAAACTTTTACAACACAATAAAAGGAAAGATATTTCTTTTAAATCTAAAGAAGACTATTTGAGTAAAAGATCAAGTAATGGTGATAATGACATGACATTCCTTATAAGAAGATTCAAAAAGTTTATGAGGAGAAACAAAACAAATCTATGAAAGGTACAGTCATATGAATGAAAAAAGCCAGGACACTTCAAAAAAGAGTGTCCGCAATTGAAAAAGAAATCATCAACCTAAAAGAAAAAGAAATTACTTAAAACAATGTGAGATGAATCAAGTAAATTAGAAGTCGAAGAACAAATCTATGAAAAAAAAAGTGGCAAACTATGTATTAATGACCTTCAATGATATGGTACTTGACTCTCCTAAAACAACTTTATCATCTGATAAATTACTTGAAGTATTTCATAATTTATATGATAAACTGAAAAAGATTGGATAAAAATCGAAGAGTTTATAAAATTTTTAGAAAAATGAGATTTTTGTGCTTAATATTCATTACTAGGAATGTCATAAAAAAATAATATGCTAAAAGGCATAATCGTACACTTATAGATATGGTTATGATGAGTTTTTTCTTCTATACCTGACTCAATGTGGAATAAAGTTCTTAAAATTATTATGTATATCTTAAACATGGTCCCTAGTAGGTCAATTTCATCACTCCATTTGAGTTATAAGTTAGTAGAAAATCTAATTTAAGATATTTACATATTTAAGATTATTTAGTAAAGATAATAGTCTTTTAACTCATAAAAAAAAATAGATCCAAGAGCTATATACAAATATTTCATTAAGTATTCAGAAAAATTAAGAGGTATAGATTTTATTGTCCTAACTACAACATGAGAATAATTAAGTCTAATAATACAAGATTATTAGAAAATGATAAAACTAATGGGAGTGAAAAATCTCAAAGATTTGATATTGAGAAAATACATATTGATACTTCTTTATCATTTTTTATTTAAGAAGTTGTTATTTCTCAAATTACTAAATAAATTAAGACAAATAAATAATATAATGACATTGATGAACCTTTGGGAAGATCTCAAAGATAAAGGCAATATCATTTCTTCTGATTATATGATATATCTACAATGATCAAATTATAATATAAGAATCAGAAAGTACCCCTTGATATTTTCATAATCTATGATAATTATGAAAAATGAAAGGATGCCACGAAGAAAGAGATGAAATCAATAGACTAGAATATTTAAGAACTCATCGAGTTACCTATTAATTATAAAAGAGTTAATTGTAAATGCATGTTTAAAATAAAACTTGACTCAAAGGATAATATCAAACAATTTAAAGTCAGATATATGGCTAAATATTTTACTCAAAAAAATACATTGACTATAACAAGACATTTTCTCTCATCTCTAAAAAGGACTAATTAAGAATCGTCATGGCCCTAGTTGTTCGTTATGATCTTGAGCTACATCGAATATGAAAATAACTTTTCTAAATAGAAAAGAATATAAAAGGGTTCAATAAAATGAAAATTAATATTTGGTTTGCAAACTTAAAAATTCATATTAAATAAGCTTCAAAACAATGATATATATAGTTTCATAATACCTCATTCAGGCGGTGCAACCGCCAGACCCCGAAATTTTGGGAGATGACAATTTGAGCTCGGAATTCAAACTAGTTTGAGGCCCATAAATACCCCACCCTTTCTTGCATGAAAAGGCACTGAAAGCTTGATCTTACTCTGTGATTTTAGAGCTCAAAAGTGTTGTAAAGTCTAGAAGTTCTCCTCCCTCTTTTCTTCCAAAGTTTTGATCTTTCAAGAGAGGAGAGAAAAGTTTGCTGAATTTATGATATGCTTTGAGGCTATCAATCAAGTCTTATAGCTATGAAATTTTATTTTAGGACCTGATGTGATTAACTCAATTATTAGGTCGATTAAGATATTTAGTGATAACACTATAATAGTTTTTTTCTTTAAGAATAATAAGTACTCAAGTCATTTTAAGTATATTGAGATAAAGTATTTAGTTGTTAAAGAAAGAGTTAAAAAATAAGAAGTGTTACTTGAAAACTTGAGTACCATCGAGTAAGGCTTTATAAGTAAAGTATATGAAGAATATTTTATTAGAATGGGTCTTATAAGCAACCTATAAAATACGGTGATATATTTGTAAGTAGTTATTGTAATCAATATTATTGCTTGGATAAATAAAAATTATTCTTTATGCTATCTTGCTTTATATTTATGTATGTAGATATTATGTTTATTCATGATAATAGGATTGTCCTTGTAATACAAATCACATGGGTCATTATGAACTGTATTGGGAAGGGCTGATAATATTATAATATATAGAAGAAAATATGATGCAAATGATATACAACCATTATAACTTGCATTAATAGTCTGACTTGATATAGTATTATGGTATTTGTTAGATCTATTAGTATGTTTTCTAAAATAGTGCACTTATAAAATTATTTTTCAAAACATAAAATCTAATCAAGTAAAATTATTTAAAAAATAAAATTATTTTACTCCATATCCATGGAGTAAAAAGTATTTAGGAGCATATCAATGAAGTAAATAATGTTTAGGAGTATATCAATAAAGTAAAACATATTTAGGAGCATATCAACGAAGGAAAAAATATTTAAGAGCATATAAATTGAGTAAAGATCATTTAGCAGTATATCAATAGAGTAAAAAATATTTAAGAGCATATTAATAAAGTAAGAAGTATTTAGAAACATTAAAGAGCATTTAGGAGCATATCAACGAAGTAAAAAATATTTATAAATATATCATTAAAATAAAAAATATTTGGGAGCATACCAAGAGAACAAACGAGAAACATAAGTTTAAATGACATATTTGATATTTTATTCATATCCAAAAAGTATATAGAATAATATAAGTAAGGACTTTCGTAATATGTTAAAAGAATATAAAGGGTGAATCGGAATCATAACATATGATTCATCTATTTCTGAATGATTATTAACATTAGTTTTTTACGAAGCTCCATTTATCTATGTGTAGATGAAGTTATAGGGCCGACAAAAGCATTATAGGCTTTACACATAACTCCCTTTTTCATTTCTGATAAAGGTTAATAACTCCCTTTCCCATTTTTAATAAGGGTTCATGTTATCTCATAAATATCAAAGTATAAAATGACATTATAAATAAGAAAGTTACTTAATATTTATTACATGAGTAATTTTATGATCAATTATACTCCAATTTACTTAATATTTAAAAAATATATGAGTCTAGTTTCAAATAAAATAAAATTTATACAAATTAGAATTATTATGGAGAGTTACAACTAATTTAGTACAAAAGGTCAAAAAATATTATCTATATTTTTGTAGAATCTAGATGATTAATTGATAAGCATATAAATCATTTAGTTCCTAAAGAATTAATTTTGTCCATTCATTAATTTTGTCTAAATCAGAATTCTCAAAAATTAGCAAATTCATAGCTCAAATGAGATTGTAGGATGCAACTGCGATGGCGGTATCAGGATGGTTGCCGGCCAGATTTGCTCAGTGCTCGCCTCATTGAGGTTTCGGTTGCAGAAATGGAGGAGAAAGCCATGAAGCACCGGCAAGCGGGCGCCCCTCGTCAACATGCTGCAGCAGTGGCGAGGGCTTCTTCAAACTGCTATACCGCCGCATTCCCCTTCTCAGAGAATAGGGTCCAATCCAGAGGGAGGAGGAGGAGCGTCTTCTTGACCTCGTCTTCATGTGGTGTGACGTCGGCTTCTTCTGCGACCGCGACGAGCACCCCGTCGCTGTCCATACCCCTCCCTCAGCCCGGTGACGCAGGAGACATGGATAGGTAATTGCGTTTGATCGAAGCCCTCTATGACTTCCCAATTCCATCCTCTTTGAATCAAAACTCGTTGATGAGAACCCTAGAGGAAGTTGCAACGAACAAGCCAATAAGAAAAAATCGCAAGATAGAGCAAAAGCAGTCACAAACAACAGAAATGCAACGAAATAAATCAATCGCGGAGGAGCTTGCTCCCTTCGTTGACGGATCGGACGATGCATTTGGCTTCGACGAACGCGGTGCGGAACGATAAGAAGCCGCAGAACTCGGCTGGGTCCAGTGAGCCAGCCAGCATCGCCCCTCAGATCGTCGAAGCGTGGGGCGAGCAGCTTCACCCGGTGCCGCCTGAACGGCCAACAGTTCTCTGGTAGTGGGGACACCTTGGCCCACCATCTTCCACGGTCGTGTCCTCCTTTTCTTCGTTTCTCGTGCCGTCGATACAATCGCAACCGGAGGGAGATGCGATCGACGAAGGAAGCAAGCAAATGATTGACTTGTTATTGAATCCAGGATTTCGTCTTCGACTCACTTGCGTGCACCATCGTGAATAGTCGATGTTGGAAGAAGATAAAATATAGCAAGCTTTAAGATCGATGAGATTGGATATGATGGGGAGTTTGCTATAAAAACAAGAATGATTGGTGCATGTAAGAACTTCCATTTTCTTCTACATATTTATGTAATGAATGATTAAATTAATTAGCTGCTGTTATTTTTTGCTAGTTTATAGTGGTAGCTCATTCGACACTGGAACAACTGAAATAAAATCTGAGTTGTCAAAGCTTCAGAGGAAGTGGAGACATTAACATATGCTATCATTGGATGAGACTATAATTTTAAAAGCTTATAGGGGATAAATAATTCACTCACTTTTGTTGAACAAGCCAGACAGAGCATAGTAGCTACTTGTAGATCACATGGCAAAGCCATCACACCAAAAACTAGTAATGGGTTTTCAGGGGAGCAACAAGCAATATACATTCATCAAGAAAGCAGAAAAATATAGTTCACTCATCGGGTTTGAAAGATGTTCTGGATCATCTTCTTAGGGGAACTCTTAGCCGCGGACTCTAGCTCGAAAATCTCATCCGAGCTAAGGCGCCAGCCAAGGGAACCCAAGTTCTCCTCAGCTTGCTTGACCGACTTCACGCCAGGAATTGGAATAGTTCCCTTGCAAATGCACCAGTTTATTGCAACCTGCAAAAGATGCCCATAATGATCTTTCAATAAGCAATAACAACACGAGGAAAAGGCTTCTAGTCTGGAACTTCATGACAACGAAAGCCATGCAAGATTATAAACAGAAGTGGTTCGAGTCATTCATAGCTGTAAGTTGATCATATATGCTGTGTGTCATTCTGGTTGTCGCTATTGTTACACACCAAAGGTCCTCATTTACCTCGTTGGTTCTGGTTCACTAGGTGCATTATATCATACCTCACTGCTTTGATTTCCTAATATCTTTTGGATGAAATATGTATATGGTGGATCTGCTGTTCTCTGTGGGTGAGACAAATCACTTGATAGTAGAGCAAATTGAAATTTTGCATCCAAGACAAATCCATTGCGTTCCTCATAAATAAATAAATAAAAATCTCATCTAATCCATCAATATATCATAGTATAGAAAAGGGAGCATGTAGTTAACCAAAAATCATTCCGTATGGTACCCAAAGGGCAATATTTAGTCTAAATGACAAGGCTCATCATGCTAAAGCCAGGTCAATCAGAGAATATTTGCATTAGGAAGATACCTACGGAAACACAAGCACATGTCATCATGTGTTGCATTTGTCAATCATCAATTTATGCCATGATCCTGACTTGATTCTAATAATTCCACTTTTAAGTTTTTAACTTCACTGTAACCCTTTTTCGTCTATGCTCATCATTTATTTATTTAACCATCTTATTCGCTTGAAATTTGCGATGCACACAAATATAGAACAATTTCATATATTGAACTTTGTAATTGAACTGAGACAAAGAGGCATACTTGTGACATCGTTTTCTGCCTCATTTCTGAAATATCTTTCAAGGAATTGAGTAAAGGATCCAAACCGGGGAGAACTTGACGAAACAGCAAAGCTCTGCAATACAATTAAGATAGATCCTTTAGTCAACCTTTACCCTTTCTTGTCTTACAATTTTGCACTTTGCAGCAAAAGTTTGTTCCATTACCGTGGCCCGCGTGGAAGACTTGATGTTGTATATTTTCCAGTGAGCATCCCTAGCCCAAGTGGACTATATGCAATCAAACGGATGCCCAGAGAATCGCATACTTCCTTCAGCTCCATCTGGGCATCACTCATGCTCAGCAAAGAAAACTGAACCTGCATGTTTAAAAAGTCTTATGATCAGATGCATGCTATATCAGGCCACACAAAAGAGTACATGTGGAGAAAATAATAATTGTCTCTTAGTCATCAAGTACCTGAGCAGAGCATAATGGCACACCTCGAGATTCTAGGTAATCATGAATCTTAATAAGTTGTTTTGGACCATAATTGCTAACACCAACAGCACGAACTAAACCCTACAAGGAACACATAGTTAATACATGTTCTAAGTCATGTTAAGGTAGCTGGATATTAACATGACTAAATTATTTAGGATAGGCACAAGAACATGCTATGCTCAGTGGTTATACATGACAAAAGACAAGGAAACACAAATAACAGAATAGTTGAATATTATATGGAAAGCATCAATGGAGTAGACAACAATGGCAATATGACAGCAACAGCTAATAATGTGCTAAAACCAATTCTGAAAGGTCTTTAATGTGTTCTGACTATACAAGCAGAACATTGTTTCATCGATGATGCAGCTTTAGGCACCAACAAGATATTGATGATATTTAGTTCCGAAAGAACATACAAGTTTTATCAAATAAGAACAGCTTATGCTACATGGCACTTGATATAGAAGCTAAAAACCTAGTGTTTCTAGAGATTACATAAAGAAAGAAAGTGTTATGATCTGACCTGATGGGATGATGAGATAAATGGCCTATCAACTTTCTTAAGCCCAAAACATTGGCCAAAATGCATAAGTAGAAGTTGACAATAGCACACCCATCAAACCCTTATAAATCAATCTTAGTCTTGCCAATTTTCAATGTGGGACTAAAGTCAATCGGGGTGTTCAATTTTTCTCACGGGTAACCCTTTCTTACTCAAGCCCCCTCACCATTTCCCAATACTATGTCAACTCTAATATCAATCGTCATGACCCAACCTTTCAACTTCGTTAAGCTCAAATCACTTGCCAAAATACTTAGGCTGAGGTTGACAATAATACACCCATTAGATCATTATAAGTCAATCTTAGTCTTGCCCACTTCTAATGTAGGACTAATCGGGGTATTACAAAAAGAAATATAGCATACATCTTTAGTGTTTCCAGCAATCCAGGCAACAACTAGAACTTGACCAGAATACTCAAAACTCAGCACATTATTTCTGAAGAATGTTCAAGAGTTCACTAAACACCTATGGTTTTTGTTTTACCATATCATGGAAACATATCATGGAATGGTTTTTCATAATTGTCTTCTCAAGATTTTAATCAATCCTCCAAAGCTTCAAGCAAAACAATGCAACATAAACCAAAATCAGTCTTAAATATAGCTGATCAATTGTCAGTTTTGGAGTTTGCTCAAGTTCCAAAAGCTGATAATCAGGTCAAAATTAATTAGAGAAGGCTTGCTATAAAACTCAGAAGGCTTCGCAATAATTATACTAAAAAAAGTTGAGGAGAATTGAGTACTTTAGTGTTATAATTTTCCTGCACAAGAGTTAGCTCTCATTGACATGATAAACAGCATTACATTGTGTTCAGTAGTTACTAAAAGCTGCATTGATATCTACTCCAGGAATGATGTGGAGTAGATTTCTACTCAGACAAAATTTCTCTTTGAGAAGACTAATGCACTTTATGAATGCTTAAATCTGTTGTTAGAATTATATTTATCATATATAGTTAGTCATGTGTCATAAAAAGCTAGTTGAATGAGCTATTTTTAGTGCTACTGTGATTTTGAAGATAAACAAGCAAATCCAATCAAGCATAAGTAAATAACCCTGAACACATAAAATTCAACTACTTATACATCCTCAACACATGATTAGCATCTAAAATTTTAAACCTAGACTTTGCTATAGATGAATTCAACATTCTAAAAGTGGTTTATCGAAAGTCAGTATGAAGAAAATTATCTGTAGCAAGAAGATCACATATGAGACCAAGATGACATGAAACTTCTTTGATTCATTAATCATCAGTAAGAGTATATTTTCCCTCCAATAGATCATAAATTAAGGACACCAGTAAAAGAGTTCTCTCACGGAAGCATTTACTATTTTCAGCTAAAGCCTAAATGTAAAATGTAAATTAAGAAAAAGTTCACTATATTTACTAGACTTGAGCATCTGCAAGTGAAGCTGAACCTTTTGGTTAGTTACTAGATAAGTCATTCCTTCAGAAAGATAATGCATACGTTGCTTGAGATGTCGAGACAGAAACAAACATCTGAATATGATGAAGACATATCACTGACAATCTGGTTGAACTTAAAAGTAAGCATAATAACCTCCTCATACATTGCAACTAGGCCATCCCAAAGAGCTTGCTCCTGTAAAGGAGCATAATTTGCAGTTGACCAATGCAATTGTCCTATACCAATTTGATCAAGTTGCAACCGTTCTAATGAAGATCTGCAATGAAAATTATCAACTTTAAATATCCCAACAACCTTATATATTGAATTGAAACACAAATTAAAAAAAGTAACCCATTCAAAATTGCAGATCATGAAAACCATCACAGAAGTCTGTGCATGACAATAATAAAGATGTCGAATGATTTTCAGATAAGCAAGAACCACATTTTTGCCTATTACTGGAAGCTCAACTATATCATGCCAAACATAAACAGCGATGCAAAATCGGTGTTGACTTGTAGCACTTCAATTAATTTCATGAAAAGTAGATACACATCTACTTGTCCATCTGCATGAAATTTAAATCAGAGGGAATACTTGCAAGCTTTAACAAATTGTCCAGGTGTTAGGCGCCAAGGATATGCTGCAAACTTTGTAGCAATGACGATGTTGTCTCCAATATTTCGTCCTACAATACAGATGAACAAACAATGAGTCCATGCAAGAGAACAAAATCTGAGAGTTCATATAGAAGTTTCACAAAACATAAAAGAATAAGAAATAATCTTCAAGGACCAGCAGATTCTAACTAGATGGAGTACAACAATACCTAACTGCTACATAGAACTCGTACATCAGATATTGGTTGTGAGGCTAACCTTGAAATTCACGAATGAACTTCCCAAGAAGCCTTTCACTTTGACCATTTAATCTTCCAGTCCCATATGAATCAGCAGTATCAAAGAGAGTGATTCCATTCCTTAGTGCCAAATCAAATGTCTCTTGCAATAAGGCATCCATTTCTTCTTTATAGCCCCAGAGCAATTGGTTTCCCCAAGCCCATGTCCCAAATCCCATTGGAGAAACAACCAAAGGACCGACTTTAACCTAGTTTAGGCAAAATAGAAGAATCTTATTGTCTAAACAGGTACACTGAAGAAAAAGTAATAACTCATTCACAGGCATAGCCAGGATACTAGGCCAACATGGATCATTGATAAGGAACACAAACATCACACTATCTTCCAATTTCCATAATGCGATCCTATAATCACATTAAAAGCCCACTGTATACACCACATCACATTACTGAAAGAAAAACTATATATGAATAGACGGACAATGGTCTTCACAAACAAACTTGTTGGACGTGGCATGCATAAATGATCACCAAACATCAAAGAACCCAGCAAGATATACTTTTTTCTCTTTATAAAATTGCATGCACGAAATGCACACATCAGGTGGGAAAGGTTCGTATCGTCATGTGAAATTACAACTAATCTCATCAGTAACCTCATCAACATAGCCACAGGTGGACCAAAAAGGCCTCTTAGTTAAGCATCATGTGGTATTTAGCTAGCTTCATGTATCCTTAAGCACTTACATAGTTCATTGTCTCACAACCAGAAAGAACAAGAAAAATGGGGACAATCACAAGAAAAGTGGAAAGAAAGGAAAACAAAAGAAGGGAGAAGGGAGGAGAGGCGACCTTTTCCCAGGGCCAGAAGAGAGGGCCGATTCGAGGAGGGAGCTTGAAAAGCTTGGCGGCTGGCGAAGGCGAGGGCGGCGGCGGGCGCATCGTCCCCTTCTTCGAGGCCCTGCACCCGAAGTGGGCTCCTGTTGCTGCGGCTGGCCACCGTAAAGCCATAGCCTGCCGGTTTCGCCGCTGCCAATCCTTTTAGTTCCGTTCCCTACGACACGATAAAAATGAGATAAGGGACGGAGCGGGCATACCCGTAATTTTGAGCCCGAGCACACATTGTTAGTGATGTCACGCTCCCCATACAAAGTCATTAATAAAAAGGGAAATTTCTCGAGCCATGTCTTCGCCCATTGAAAAAACCACATGCTTCGTTGATCTGTCTCAAACATCCATTAAAATAAAGATTTATCATATATTTTATATCTGATGCTCTATTTATCATATTATCAACTAACTATATGTATGTTACTCTCTAGACTCAATACTAAGCTAATCATGAGTTGTACTTATCACAACTCCTAACTTAGTAAATTTTTATTTTTATAATAATTTACTCAATTCATCGATCATAGACATACTAAGTCACTATGTCATACTCCCTAGACAATACAGAGAGACCTAAAATATTAGATATATCTATCCTCAGTTATCATATATCTATAATCCCTCATCCATCTAATATCTTAAAGATCATATATCGAACAATGTGCTATTTAGCTCATACAAAATCCATTCAAGTCTCTTTTTAAGTAGATTCTCCCAGAGAACTCCTTCTCTCTCAATCTGAATATCACGCTTATCGGATTCATTACGATCCGATTGACCCTGACTATGGATTTGAGTACACATGAGATATTCCTCTCATGATACCGAGAGTGGAAGATCCTATATTGACACATAATTGCCTTCGTAAGGTTGGTTGTCATTCCCAATAACTATTTGTACTAGATCCGAAATTTCTAAATCTATAAATCTGGTATCAAAGAATAGAATACTCGAACAAGACATTTTTGTGTCTCAAGTTTAAAGACCAGATACACAATTAGTGTTAGAAGAGAATAGAAGATAGGAATTACTGAAGAAGCTATTCTCGCATTGACATATTCTCTCCTATTTATACAAGTTAGAAGGGAGGATTTCCCTTAACAGAGTATAGAGATTTTCTCATATAGTTAGGAAAATCTTATCTACTATCATGCCCATGCAAGATGGTGCTCATATCAAGGATATCAATCTTGGATCGATGTAAAGCAAAAAGTTTACGAACGAGAGGCTTCGTGAGTGAGTTGACTAATTGATCAGTCGTATGTACATAAGAAACTCATAGTTGACGGCGGACAACTTGATCTCGTACAAAATGGAAGTCGATAGCAATATGTTTCATGCAGGATTAGAACACCGGATTAGCACACAGATAGGTAGCTCCGACATTATCACAATATATTGTAGGAGTGAAATTGATGTTGAATTCCTTGAGGAGATTTGTGATCCAATTGAGTTCTGTAGTGGTAGTGGCGATGACACGGTATTCAGCTTCAGTTGTAGACCGTGTGATAGTCTTTTGCTTCTTAGAACTCTAACTGATTGGATTAACACCAAGGAAGATAATATACCCCAATGTGGATGTTTGATCATTAAAGTTGCCTACCCAATCGGCATCGGCAAAGGCATGAAGAAGAAGTGGAGAATGTTTACAAAGAAAGAGACCATGATTGAGGGTCCCCTTAAGATATCGTAGGATCCGTTTGACTGTAGACCAGTGCATAGTAGATGGCCTCTGCATAAACTATGATAATTTGTTGACTGCAAAGGAGATGTTTGGATAGGTGAGAGCTAAGTACTGTAAGGAGCCAACGACTTGTCAGTATTGAGTGGGTTCCGTAGCAGAACTTCCATCAGATAATTTGAGAGAGCCACTAACAAAGAGAGGAGTTGTAACCGCATTTGCATCCTGCATGTTTGTTTTTTATAATAAATCTTGCATGTACTTTCTTTGTGAGATAAAGAGACCAAAAGATGTGAATGCAGCTTCTACACCCAGAAGTAGTTCAAGGGTCCTAGATCTTTAAGCGAGAATCGATATGCCAACTATTTGATGAAGGGTTGGATTTTCACGGGATTGTTGCCTGTGACAATGATGTCATCCACATATACCAGAATATATATTGTGTCACTATGGTGTTGCTGTAGAAATAACGATGTATCATATTTGGAGTTGAGAAAGCCAATTGAAGTCAGAAAAGAGCCAAGTTTTGTGTACCAAGCTCTTGGAGCCTAATGAAGTCCATAAATAGCTTTTTGCAGTTTGCAAACATGTCTTGGATATTGAGGATGAGTGAAACTAGGAGGTTGTTGCATAAAAACATCTTCAATTAGAGTCCCTTGTAAAAAGGTATTATTAACATCCAACTATCGTAATTGCCAGACCTTAATGGTGGCCAAACTTAGGATAAGTCAGATTATAGTAGACTTAACAACTAGACTAAATGTCTTAATGAAATCAACTCCAGGTCTTTGATGAGGAATGGTCCGCATAGTATGATAGGTATGATTTTGGAAAAGAAAGATAGACTCAACAAAAATAATATGACATGATATAAAGATTTTGAGTATGAATATTATAGTAACGGAAAGCATTATGTTCAAGAGAGTAATCTATAAAGACGCAAGGATTAGATCGTGATGTTAACTTATGAGAGGTATAGGGACGTAACCATAGATAACATAGACAACCAAATACTCTAAGTTTACAAAGGTTTGGGGGTTTATAAAATAGTGTGTCAAAGGGAGACTGGTATTATAGGATTGGCATAGGCATTCTATTAATAAGGTAGATGACAGTTTAAAAGACTGTTGTCTAAAAATTTGAGGGCATGGAGGCCTGATGTAGAAGTGTGAGCTCAGTTTCTACTATATGTCAATGTTTACGTTCGGCGGAGCCAACTAACTGAGGAGTATGCAGGGGAGACTTGAGGTGTTGGATACCATAAGCTGAGAGATAAGATGCTAGAGCTTGATATTTACCACTACCATCAGAGTAAATTATTTTGATTGTAGACTGAAAGTGATTTTGACCAACTTTCGAAAGATGGGAAATATTATAGAAACGTCAGATTTATGGTGAAGAAGATATAACCATGTGTATTTAGTGAAGTGATCTACAAAATTGATAAAAAATCTGAATTTATCAAAAGACGGGATTGGAACAGGGCCCCAAATATCGGTATAAATAATTTTAAATGATTTATAGGAGGAAATGAAAGATGAGCCAAAGGGCTGTCGATAACTTTTATTATCAAGACATGCATAGCATTATAGAACTATATGATTTAAAAATAGGAATAGAGTAATGAGAAAGTAGTTTCTGCTGAATAAGGGACGAGGGATGACCAAGACGATGATGCCACACATCAATTGGATCTGTAACGGAAGAACGAACAGTGGGTTGGGTTATTTGTGGAGCTAATGATCATTCGTAAATATTGCCTCTATTCGGGCCCTGGACCAAGGATGCCCTTGTGCTCAAGTCCTTAACAAGAAAGGAATCGGGAAAGAATTCAATTGAAGTATTATTATGTTTGCAAAACTGAGAAATAAAAATGAGGTTGCATTTAATATGAGGGGCGCATGAAACATCATCGAGTGTAAATGTGATAGTATCAGAAGTAAGTGTTGTGGAACCGGTATGAGTTATAGGAAGTCCTTTACCGTCACCGATGATGATATTTTTATCGTCGTCATAGGTGTTGTGAAGAAACAAATTCTAAAGATCAACGGTGATGTGATGGGAGGCGCTAGAGCCGACAATCCAGTTGGGCTAGCTAGTCGTCGGAGCAGTCAGGAGATTTCCTTGAGGCTAGTGTGACGGAGCAAGGAGGTGGGGTCGAGACCAACAAACTTTAGCGGAGTGTCCGATTTTATCACACGATTGGCAAATGACCCATCTTGTTGGCTTAATGGGGTAGGATGCCAAGATGGACGATTATTGGAGTTGTCATTTTGCGAGAAGTTATGATTAGGATGATAAGGGGGATTTCGCATGGGATCCATAGGATCAAGATGTGTATAGGCCAAACCTTTGGAGATGTTCGAAGGGTACTGAGTGCCCTTCCTCTTAGACTTGTGACTGACTTGAGTTGTGATAGTCAGTCCGGGCAATTTGTCGTCATGCTTTAAATGCGTCTCATAATCAGTCAACTTGTCATAGAGGTCTTCAAATGATACTGGCGTATCGCGTGCTCGAATTGCAGCTGCCAACTCCTTGTAATCGTCTCCGAGACCATTAAGAGTATGGATGATGGTCTCTTCATCACATAGGGAATGACCTATCAAAGTCAAATCATCGATAATAACTTTGATATTTTATAGATAATCAGTTATAGTACTTTCCTCTTGCTTTGTCACCATTAGCTTGGATAGAAGACTGAGCTTACGAGTACGTGAATGATTCGCTAAGGTTGTTTGCAGTTTAGACTATGCTTCGGCAGTAGTCCCACATGAAGATATCAATGGAGCGACGGATCCAGCAACTGAGACTTGAATAGCTTGGAGGATGAGACAATCTTGACGCAACCATAATTTATGAGCTGGATTTGGTGTTGGACTGGGTTCTCTGGGGATGTTGATCATGGTTGGCGGACAATTGAAAGAGCCATCAACGTAGCCTTGCAAGTCGTATCCAAATAAGAGATTAGAAAATTGAGCCCGCCATGATGCATAGTTGCCACCCTTTGATAACTTGAAAGGAATTAGCATTGCAACATTGATGAAGATAAACCTTATAGGAGAAGTACTATGAGTCCATGCAAAAATAGTAACCGAAATATCAAAAAAGATAAGGAAGGCATCTCAGATATTTTTTTTCTCTTTATTTTATTTTTTATTAAATAGTGATCTCTACGGAAGATAGAGGAGGGAGGGAGGAGGCTGCTGCTGTGGCTGCTGTGACAGAGAAGACTGCTAGAGGGCAGCGCTAGTGGTGCACCAGTGAGGAACAGTGCAGCGTTGGCAGTGCTGGAGAGAGCTGCATTGATGCTGGAGGAGGCTGCAGCAATTAGGTGGAGAAATTTGTAGCGATTATGTGGAGAAATCTACAGCGATCAGGTGGAGAAATCTGCAATGATCAGGTGGGTTGCTGGGATGAGTTCTTTATTTGGTGGATGCTTTTAGCTCTTTGTAGCTAGAAGGTTGCTGAGGATCGATGGTGAAGAGATAGTGAGGCAGC